TTGAAAAATATGTGCCCCATAGGCCCCATATGAGGACCATATGTGGAGAGCCATGTTTTGGTGAAGTTAATATGGCTTGAACACACATTTCACATGTCCATCTCCTTCAAACATGTTTTATGTATCCTGGAATCGTTCTTTGCGGATTGGAATCGCTCTTTCGAAATTGGTTTTGAGGACTCGGGGCTTTTGTTTCAGGCCTTTCGATGTGGAGATCGCCCCATGAAGCCTGAGAAAAAGATTGCTGAACCATCCAAGACCAACGGCCCGCTCCTGCAAGCAAATGGTCGCCGTCATTGCCAAGAGAAGTTTGGCTAGTGTATGCTCACTGAAGTCAATTAACGAGAAAGGCCCCATGCAAAAAGTCTGACAGCTTGATGGTGTGTCTCCAGGTCGGGGGGTCTGGTTTGAGAGCGTCGGTCCATAGTGTTGGTGCCATAGAGTCTGTACGCTACACTGCTGTACAGATCCCTTTAATCTTGACAAGGGGGCGGACACGATGTGACTCGCTCCAAGGTTGGAAGAGAATGGCAAACCACGAAAACTCTGAGCACACGCGTATATTATATCAGTGTCCAAAAGTATCCAATTATACGGCAGAAGTCAAAACTGACACTAATACTAATTGTCAGTGAAATTTCTGGCAAACGGACCAGCCGATTGCATGTGCTCTTGAAGACTTCAATGGCCTTCCCGCAGCGCTTTTTTTTCCATGTGAAATCGAGAGCTAGGTGCCAGCAGTTTTGGCCTGTCAGTGGGAAAGTGGTGTAGTGGACAGGAGATTGCGATTGAATCGATGCAGCTGTCACTGTCAAATCCTGAAGGGTGGAAAAATGGAAACCCATCAGATTTCGGGTTGGAATCGCAGAACAGCAGGTGTGCAAACAACAGATCTATCAAAAATTGCTACTTTCTCATATCACCAATCTGTTCCTGTAGCTTGATCGCAAAGCCGTGGGAAGGCTTCTGATAAGGGCAAGAAAAAGGTGCCGGGCAAGAAAAAGGTGTCTCTGCGGATGTGGCCCAAAATTGGTTCTGATCAAAACGCTGTGAGCAGCTGACCTAAGACTCTGTCATGAGGGTCTAATACACTTGTCTGCAATCACATCCTGATGTACACAGACCAGTGGCTGCCGTGCTTTTCGCTCGGGATTTGCAGGAGGACGTCGCCAGGTCGCGCAGCATCTAAAAGGCTCGAATCGAGTCACTTGAGGTTGAAGTCTTCTGCAGGGCAGTCTTGGCTTCGCTGGTTAACAAGTGGATGGCCGTGGGAGAGCACCATCACGTTCTTGAAGAGCTTCTGCTTCGAGCTTCTGCACACTCCACATTTTGCACTTCAGTCCTCTCTTCATTCCAAGTAAGGCATTGCAAAGGCATTATGTGCATGTAGCCTCAGATCCGTTTAATGGTCAAATTGGACCGGACGCGATTCTCTTCAGTTGTGCCAGAAAACTGGAGGCTCTGACCCAGCAAGTCGGAGCTTGCTACAGGGATCCAAACTGCGCCAAGCAGCGCCCGGGGCATCTGAAACCATGGAACACCTCGTCGCAGAAGCTACAAGAGCGCACGTTGTTGTTTGAGTCTGACTCTGTCTGTAAAATAGGTGTTGGTAGTTGAGTAAGGGCGAGGTCCTAAACATGAAGCTGCAAGCTTGAAACCCTACGGACTTCAAGTGATCAGTTACGGACTCCTTGCAAGGCCAGCTTGCCTCGTATTGCGTCCCTGATTCACATGACCAGTGAAGCGCTCAGTCCCTTTGGAGCAAGCCATGGCACTCTGCCAATCTTCGACATCCCGAGGTCTTGCTGCCAGCCGCTCTGCTGTGTTGTGGAATTCTCCGGTCGTCTCATCTACACCTGTGCTAAGTCCGATTATGAGAGTTCATGTCCTGTGTACAAGTGCACAAGTTGTGAACTTCTACAAGAGATTTTAGATTATTTAGTATGTATATACTAAGACGGGATATCATCTCCACGCTGTTCAAAGATGTTTGCTCGGCAACACACAAGCACTTGCCTCCAGTGATGTACAAGTAGTCATCCACCACCTAGCGTATTCCAGCAAAGCAGCTCCACCATCTTGAGAACAGCAAACAAATCACATTGAGCTCCCCACAGCCATTGCACCACCCACACGTGCTTTGTCAAGGTCTGGCAGCTGACGCCAAGAGCCATGAAACCTTAGCCAAGCAGGGGCAAAGACAATCCGCCCTAGAAAATAGATCCTGAACTGTTGCTGGATGAACGATTGAGAAGATGCTGTGCCTGGTCAACTGTGCAGGTATGGTGGTTGTGTCTGTCCCAGCATCCTGCCCACTTGTTTCGAACCAAGGAGTACGTTTGCTTAAACGTGCTTAAATGATGCTGGGAATGCAACAGTATATGTATACATCACTAGCACCAAGTGCAGCACGGCTTTTCATTCAACCAAGGATCAAGGCCATTGTTGGTTCTTTGGAGGGAATCGGAGGTGCGGGAACGCAAGGAGAGTGCCGGTTCCCTCCTCAAACCTTTTTGGCATCCTGTTATTTGAGTACATTGTAGTCTCCAGAGATGTTGATGCTTTTGATGAGTTCTGCACGAATCAAAAGAGTTGCGGGTGTTTCCAATTAGAGCCCAGTCATACACCTAGCCTACCTAGCACAAACCGATGCTCCCAACCTCAAAGTCAAGCACAACTTGAAAGCTCAATGGTCCGAATAGAGTGGCGTTTCAAGGCCTCTTCACCTGCTTTCTTCAACATAAGGCTGTCCTGCGAGGAAGTTTTTGGTGCTTTCACCAAAGAAGTACATCAGAAAGCCTTATTCGACATGACTCCATCAAGCCAAAACGCCACAAAGGGTCTGTCGGAGGTTTGGCAAAGCGGAAGCCGGCCACCTGGCTAAGTCACTTCTGAAACTTGGAAAGAATTTGGTGGTCTGAGAAGATCTTGGCTCCCTGTTCAAAGGGATCGCCAGCACACAACAAGGGCCAGCATTAACGCCAAAAACATCCAAAAACACTCCCCTTGATACTTGACAGCCGGTGCAAAAGTGGGCGTGGGCATGAAGGGACTCTTGGCTTTACATCACCAAAATGCCTGAGAAGCCTTGAGAAAGGTGGGCCTCTGTTGAAAAATCACTTCTGAACCTCAAAAGGACTGGAGGCAATTCGCCTTCCGAGCCAGTGCCGGAGGGCGCCCAGAGGCAACAATCAGCTCGTCCCCCAAGGCAACGCAGCAGGAGGAGGCACCTACCTGACGCCGAGTCTTCGAAATGACCGTGACATTCTACCGCTATATATAGTCGCGTATTCAGATATTCACGAGTCCTATCAATGAGGTTCCTTTCCATTGCACAGGTGACACAACCATAAGGAACCAAAAAGAAATAGACTTAGAATCACACATCTAGCAATCGATGCAGCCTCAACATCTCCGAGGGGGGGCTACCACGGCCCGCCACCCATCCTCAGGCAATGTCGGATTGTAGGCCTGGGCATCAAGGCTCAGCCACATCTTCTGACAGGGAAAGTCAGCCCCCTCTTGACTGGATCTCTCTGGAAATCTACATCTTCCTTGTGCACTCTGGTTCTTGAGGCTTCAAGCCAGGTGGGAAGGGGAGGCCGAGAACACCACACCAAAATTGATCGCAAGGTCTTGGATCTAGAAACCAACCTCGAGTATTGATTGAGCAGCGTATGCTGCTCGCTTTCTGGTTGTCACTTATCATGTTGTGGTGCCCAAAAGGTCTTCCAACTTTGTCTGTTCTGTGCAACCATGGCTCCAGCGTCATATGTCCCATGAGTGCCACGATGCGGCGGCTTACCTCAGCTGCGGCATCCAATTTTTGAGATCCCTCTGCTTCAGCATGGAACCCTAGAAACATCTAGGAACCCTAGAAACAAGGACGCTACTAGGGGCTCCTGGCCGTACTACTAGGAGCAAGAAGCTACTAGGGGCTCCTGGCATCGCTACTAGGAGCAAGGACGCTACTAGGACCATCCTAAGAATGTTTGCTTGGTTCACGAGACGAAATCTAGCTGGGCCAAAATGAGAAAGGCAGGGAATCGAACGGGGCCTGTAGCAATTCCAGCCAGCCCAAAGCTTACTAAATCAAGAGCAACTCCAGCTAGCTAGCTTTCGAAACAGTCAGAAAGCTTTCATTTATATCCTTAACGCGTGAACAGTGAAAGCCTCTGACCCTAGTCTTCAACCCCAAGCTCCACGACTGAGGGACCACACCGAGGCAGCTCCAAAGAAGGCGCTGTGGTCCAAGATGTCTGGTTGAGGGAAAAAGCACAATTTGCTTAAGGAACTGGTGACCACGAATCTATGCTTTGGTGCTGGGATGTTAGGACAGTTCAGCAGAGGAAGGAGAGTCTGCTGTCAAGCTAAAACGGACATGTTCCGTTCCCAAGCTGACTTCCAACACAAATATGAGTTTGCTTGGGATCTAAAGCCAAATGGCTAATACTCAGTGGAATGGGGCCCTATGCAAATCGTTACTTGATGTCTTGCTTCAGTGCAACCCAAATGTCCTTCATCAATGCATATGTGGCGGTAGGCGGAGTTGGGCAACGGCCGCCAATCCAAAGAGTCAAGGTTCAGAACATCACAGAAGCTCTCCTGCGACAAGTGTTGGCAGAAACTGGAAGCTGTTGAACTGCAGGATTGGCTTGCGGGAGCAGCCAAGGTCCTTCAAACTAACTGTGGCTTCTTCATAGCACGTCTTCAAACATGCACACCGTCCTTGCCGACAGCTAGCTGTTCCCGAAAAAAGATTCTAGCATGAGTTTCTGTCCATCGGTGTCATTTCAACCGCATGCAATCTGGAGTGCTCTGTCCTCGATGGGGACAGGTCGCTCATCCACATACCTTGCCAAAAGAAGCTGCTCACAGGGCAGCAGGGCCATGCCCTTGGGAATGCAGGGGGATTTGGCTGGCTGCGGATTTCTTCCAGGAAGAGCAATCTGAAGCCCTGCGATCCTCTCAAAATCTTCCTTTCGCTATTCGCTCTTTTTCTACGCTTGGAGATACTCGCTTGTCACCTTGCAGCTGCTGGCACCAAAGCCAGGCCCCTCAGCAGCAGTTTTGAGTTGGGCGTGGCCGGCGTTGCCCCACACTCTGTATTCTAAACATGCTATTGATGGTTCGTTTACAGGTTACATCACCAGGATATCAGCTTGGCAATGGTCACGAGACACTTAGCCGTTGAAGCGATCAAGCGTTCTAATTGATTGGATGGTTGCTCGTTCACTGTCAGCTTACCCCTAGCGTGTCACATGTGACCCTTGACATGATCTGCAGAGCCATAGTCGGCATGTCCGCTTGCTGCAACTGGCCCGGCCTTCACGTAGATCCAGCCTCTACAGAAAAATGTGTGCAATAAAGAGAATCCGAGCAGAAACGAAGAAACAACCTAGGCCATATCAGATCAGAAGGTCGGGCCTTTCTTCTCGCCAGCCGTGACGTCCAGCTCTGCCCAAATGCCACCACTGGCGCCCACAAAGAGCTCTCCAGTGGTGCGCACCTGGACACAAACGATGATCCATGGGCAGTTGGTGGGATTCCGCGGATTCCAAGGTTGGAGATCCAACAAAACCTTGCGATGTTCGATCAATTGAAAAGGCTTTAATTAGATGTGGTCTGAGACCCCTGCGGTAGAGCTCACTGGTCTTGAAATTTTGATGATTTTGTCCTAAGTAAAAACCAAGCTCGGAGCTGCACTAGTAGTCGTGCAATGTCTATCAAACCACAAATAATTTGTCCGATGTCGTTGCACTTGGCACGAAAGTGAGCATATGTTCACTGCATTTTGGTATGTTGAATCACGGCAACCTCTTTCTTCTTCATACTTGTTCACAGTTCCTTATTGCATTCGTTTTACCGAATTTCCTTGCAGTTCGGAATTTCTGCACTTGTCGGTGGTAGCGCGTTGGTTGTGTTTGGAAGATGATGCCACATGCGCACACACACGTTGGAAAATCATGCTACATGCACAGACGCTTTGGAAGATGGAGGGTGTGGGGTTGGGTGGGTTAATTACGTTCGGTTGGATGTGCTTGGCCAGACAGTACAGATTATATAGTGTGTTTCTTTTGCAACCACAGTAAAGGTGAGTTCAATGTAGTCAAAAAATGGGCGTCCACGACCGTCACTAGATGTGAACACAAGATCCGTTGATGGATTTTGGGCCTGTTGCAAGTCGGCAATTCCCACCTCCACGCAGATGTTGATTTCCGCTGGCGGCGTCAACCCTCAACTGTTCAAGCGCTTGCAAAGGCACTGTTGGAGATGGGAAAACCGGCCAATCGGCAAAGATCTGATGCAGTGAGTGGAAAAGCAGTAGCACTGACGCTGCTGAGAGAGACAGAGAGAGAGGGAGAGAGAGAGAGAGACATGGGGGAAACTAGAACTTGTCGAGTTCACGGTCGCTGTAGCGAAATAGCAAAATGATGCAAAATGTTTGCAAGGCGTGCGTGTGTGTGTGTGTGTGTGTCAACTCCTGTCTCCAAGGAGCAGGACCACAGTATCTACTTCTAACTCACTAACTTTAATTCGATGTACAAACAAGCAGGGGGGCAGAGAGGACTTGCAAAGCTCTGCCCAACGAACCTCTCTGCACTGTCCTAGGAAGCGGGAGCTGATCACTCCTGTGCACCTGCCAACTTTTAATCTCTCTTTGTTGAGCAGTTGACCAAGCCGTTTACCCCACTCTTCCGTAAAGTGCTAATGAGTCTATGTTCAAGCAATACTGTTGCCGCGGACTCAGTCACCTTTCGGTGTAAAGGAGAACCTTAAGAGGGATCCATCAGTGTTTCATCGTCTTGCTTGATTCTCTCTTGATCAGCCACCTGCTCGAGATTGCAGAATGTATGCCACAGGGCCCACTGTCTTTCCCACAGAGTGACATGCTGCTAATGTAATCATCACGTCACGCAGCTAAGTATTCATCTTGCTGTTGTTTTTTCTCTTGTTGTTCCTTTTTGTTTTCTTGTTCTTAGATGTTTTTTAGGTTTCAGGTTAACTTTTAGTCAAATGCTAAGTATTCACTTGTACGCTTCACACTGAGTAACTCATGCACGGTCTTGCTTTCCTTTCCAAGGCTCTTTCGTTTCGTTCCAGGTTTTCGTTCATTACTAAAGGCTTTGTAGGTGTCAGGTTAACTTTTTTAGTCAAGGGAGCGCCGATACGGCTGGGTGTGTGTGTGTGACCCTTGGAGTCACAGGGAGCCTTTGGGTTTAGAGCAGGGAGTTGGTAGCAAGGCAAAGAGTCTACCACCAACGAAGACACTCTCTAAGCCTTGGTGATACTGGGACTGATCATCCCAGCGCACCTGCATCAATTTTTTGACCTTGGTAAAGTGCTAATGCAGCTGCTGTCACGCACGACACGCCGTCACCCTGTCGGTCCGCTTTCGCCTTGAGCTTTTGGCCCCACTTCCTCTTGCAGACCCCCAGGCCCCTTTAGGATTTTCCTGGACCTTTCAGGATTCTGGCGTGTGGCATGTGGCATTCAGTTCCGTACGCATATCCATAAGTGTGTCTGGCCTCGGCCAGCCTCGACCCGTCGAACGAAGGTTTGTCGAACGTATCCCCTGCCCGGATACAGAGCAGCTCGCAGCGAGCGTAGGTGGCCTAGGCCGAGAGAACTCAGATGCTTGTCCAAATTGGGAATTCCAAGTTGGCTTATGACTTTACATGACCGCAGCGGTCAGAGCAGCCAGCCATTTTGGCAAGGCACAAGGTGACCATAGCGGTCAAAGCAAGTTTAAGGTTCATTGGAACCTGTGGAGAACTGAGCCCCCCCTCCTCCCCCTTCCCTCCCCCTTTCTTTCTTTGCTTCCTGGGGTTTTCCTGAATGGAATACTCAGGATCACCCCTCTCTTTCTATGGTGTGTCGTCCCTGGACGCTTGTTCGTAGCTGGGAACACCTGCCTTTTTCCTTTTCTCTCCTCTCCCTTTCTCTCCCTCTCTCTTTCTTTCTTTCTGTCTTATCTTATCTTATCTTATCGTTTCTTTTCTTTTCTTTTCTTTCTTTCTTTCTTTCCTTCTTTCTTTCTTTCTTTCTTTCTGTCTTTCTTTCTTTCCTTCCTTCCTTCCTTCCTTCTTTCTTTCTTTCTTTCCTCTCTTCACCTTCCTTCTTCCTTGGGTGTCCCTGGATGCTTTCGTCATAGCTGGGAGTGTGTCCTTGGACGCTTGTGTCGTAGCTGGGAGCACCTTTGTTTCCTTCTTTCTTTCCCTCTCTTTTCTTACTCCCCCTCCCCCCCTCTTTCCTCGCGGCGTGTTTACAAGCAAACTAGGCTTCTGCAACAGGTTTTTTAATGAGGTTTGGACTGTCATCGGTTTGTCCCCGTTCATTTGGTTCCCCTTTCATCGGCCCCCACAGACGTTTTTCCTTCTTTTCTTTCATGTCTTTCTGTCTTCATGTCTCTTCATCCTCATCCTTTCTTTCTCTTGCGCGTACTTTCGTCCGGACCTTAGTTTGTACACATACACGCACGCGTACTCTACTTACAACGAGGTTCAGGTGGCCCAGGTTTGTTACAATGAGGTTTGGTTCATCGGTTGTCCCTCTTCACTTGGTTCTTCATCGGCAACCACACACACCTTTGTCTGTCTCGTCTCTTTCATTTGCATCTGTCTCTTTTGCGCGCACATGTGCTTTGCCTCCTTTCCGGGCAGGATGGAGGCCACACATGCCTCCCTTCGGGGAGGCGTGTGTGTGTGTGTAACCCTTGGAATCACAGGGAACCTTTGGGTTTAGAGCAGGGGGTGGTAGCAAGGCAGAGAGTCTACCATACTGGGACTGATCATCCCAGCGTACCTGCATCAGTTTTTAACCTTGGTAAAGTGCTAATGCAGCCACGCACGACACGCCGTCACCCTGTTGGTCAGCTTTCGCCTTGAGCGTTTGGACCTACTTCCTCTTGCAGACCCCCAGGCCCCTTTAGGATTTTCCTGGACCTTTCAGGATTTGGGTTTCCTGGGCTGGCGTGTGGCATGTGGCATTCAGTTCCGTAGCACGACCACAGTATCTACTTCTAATCACTAACTTTAATTCGATGTACAAACCAGCAGGGGGGCAGAGAGGACTTGCAAAGCTCTGCCCAACGAAGCTCTCTGCACTGTCCTAGGAAGCGGGAGCTGATCACTCCTGTGCACCTGCCAACTTTTAATCTCTCTTTGTTGAGCAGTTGACCAAGCCGTTTACCCCACTCTTCCGTAAAGTGCTAATGAGTCTATGTTCAAGCAATACAGTTGCCGCGGACTCAGTCACCTTTCCGTTCCTTCAGCCAAGGTCCAAACGCGTGTAAAGGTCTAATTGCAGTAGCGCTGGAGTTCACAAACTGATAGAGCTCTTGCGAGCATGGATCTAAGTGTGGTATCAGAAAATGCTCACTTCGCCACAGTGAAGCAAGAGTGCTACATTTTGCGACATCACATTCTCCGAAATGCAAGTTTTGAGTGGATTTTATATAAGCACTTCAATGAAGGTTGACAACCAATGATGGCTTTGTTGATTGCGTTGACATGTGAAGCTGCGACCACTGTCATGGAGAGCGCTCTCTTTCCAGTAGCGCGGGCAAATTGATGTATGCTGGATCGAACAATACGCCAATTAGATGCCGGCGCAAGGCATCGGCTCGGGGATGGACACGATAATCTCCACTCTGCACCCTTGCCAATAACCAAACATACAGACTGGAGGCAAAATCGAAGAAAAAGATGCAAGCTCTGTAATCAAGTATATTCCTACTGTTTGGGCACAGCATGTAAACAAAAAGGGCCCCAAGGCGACCAAGCATGGATACACAGACCCGGACAAGGCCTGCAGAAAGACACACAAAGCCGGACAAACCCTGGACAAGGCGCCGACAAGGGGAGAAGAAAGGGCCACAGCGGGGCCAAGCAAGACACACAGACCCGGACAAGGGCGGAGAAGAAGGGGCAATTAAACTGAGACCAAGAAAGAACCCCAACAGCAAACTGTGTGGGAATTGAACTTGAGACTGAATAAACCAAACAAAGGCTCGAAATTAGTAGGGGAGAAAGCCACACAGAGTTCGAATTTATTAAGGCTATCCAAGTCACGTTGGCCATCCGCTGCACGCACAAATAGATGGTAAAAGGCTGTGGGGCAGAGGATTTAAGGGGCAACATTTGGGCAGCAGAAATTGATGGAAAGGCTATCATTTGAGGATACGGGAAAGGCCGTGGTGCAGGAAATGAGGGGGTTGACATTGGGCCCCTTGGACGGTAAGAGCCGTGGTCTGAAGTAGAACAAGAAGTAAAGCTTGAGAAGGGGCTTCAGAAATGACGCTGGTCCTTCTTCTCGCAGGCTCGATTTGGCTTGCTCTCGACTGTAGCAAATCCTTCAGATTTCTTGGTGTAAAGCATCTTGGTTGTGGACTGGGAGCAACGTGAATTATGAGAAATTGGTGGTGCAGGGGTTGCCTCAGCGATAAGCACACATCATGCGCATTATTCCAGCATTGTTCGCATTATTCCAGCGTGGCAAACACCTTTTAGGTCTTGTACAAGTGTTTGACAGTGTGAGCCCTGGTTTGCCCAGCTTTGGTCTGTTTGAGAAGATTGATTCTTGACATAGAACAGTTCTAAACTCCATAACAACCTGTCAAGAACTTCTACGTCTCTGCATTTGCAAATTCACTGCATGGAAAAAGACCTATCACTCAAAATTGATTGCAAATATCTATTATCTATGTATCAAAGGTTTATCCAGAGTAAGAAATACGGAAGCTTGTAGGATCAGGGGCATTGTTTGTCACAGGAAGGTTTAGGATGACCCTCGGCCCCTTTCATGCTTCAAGCCAACATCCTCTGAAGTACAAAACCTGCATGGAAGTTGAAATGAAGGTGCTAAAGGCTGAAGCGCTTTAATTCTGGTCCAGAACGACAACTTCACAGGCAAGCTGCCCCAGAGACATTTGGTTTCCTCGGCATGACTTTCGCTTCCGCACAGGGTCAGAAAACAAGCGAAGTCAACACCGAGGCAAACAGGATAAAACAACAAAACGATGGTAAGGCCCCTTCTCCTTCCTATCCTTCTCCTTAACTGTCTCAATTTCTTTTCCCTTTTTCAGACCAAGTCTCTTGAAGAGGTCGCTCTTGAGCACCCGGTAGGCGGTCGGCTGATCCTGACGAAAAGGTCTCGATGGGACCCACCTGACAGCAAAGAGCGATCTCATGCGGAAAGCCGGTCCTCACGAGTCTGACTTTTGATGACAAAGGACGCTATTAGGTGAAGGCCATCGCTATCAGGTGGAGGCCATCGCTATCAGGTGGAGGCCATCGCTAATAGGCAGAGGCCATCACTATTAGGTGAAGGCCATCGCTATCAGGTGGAGGCCATCGCTATCAGGTGGAGGCCAT